AAAACACTGCTGACAGCACAATGTAGAAGTTGGGAGAGATCAATGTGGGTACCTTCGGAAACCTATACTGTTGGACATCTGTTTGTCCTTCATCTCTGGCCAAATGCTGGCCATTCATCAGCAACACACAGGCAAGAGGAATGGGGTGTCATGTTGAGACCTTGTACTGTCTCACTGTTGACAACAGACTGTATTCAAACAGAGCGACAGTTACCGAAGTCATGCAATGCTTCTGCTAACACACTGCGAAATAAAAAAATGTTTTCTTAACCAGTATTTTCCAGTAAAAAAATTCATAAATTACAATTTCTAAACATCCTACAGCATGAATTTACTTGAGTCAAGATAGAGTTACCGTTACAAACAAACTGCAGAATTTTATTTAAAAAAAATGTTTTCTTAATTAGAAATTTCCATTAATTTTAAAGTTTTTTTTCAGAGAATATATATTAAATCAAATTTGTCTCACCCCATTAGTGATTTTGTTCTAGTTTAGGCAAAAGAGTTAGATTTTTAGTGAAATCCCAGAATATAAGCTTTTAAAAAAAAAACAATCATTCATTTTTCAAGGATATTCACTTAACATGTTAATATGTTGTGATTTTGTAAACATAGTTTCATAGTCCTTCCAGGTGGCAAAACGTGATGTACTACTGGCTTAGGTGACAGTCAAACAGACTAGCCGTCTTCACATCAGCGAATGAAGAATGTGTGTGTGCATTCAAAATGTGACTCACAGCTAAATAAATAAACACAATGTAATGTCTGCCAAAAGAAACTGAATGTTAATGGTCTAATGTGTGCATGTGTTATAGACAGATGACAGGAGTTTATGCCTGTCTGCTCTAATACCTAGCAGCATATCCTCCATCTTAAGAAATGCGACGTTCCCCTGAAAATTGTCGCAGCTCCTCCGCAGCATGTCATCCGCACGTCAGCTCTCCCAATCAGCTGTCATGCTGTGAATTGGAGGTTTTAAGTTACAGATCACTTCTGAATCCTAGCACACGCGTGACGTGAATCCCTATGCCCCTACGCTGCCTCTGCCAAGGAGCGTCAAAACAAGCACACAAACATCCGCTCGCTGAATGCTGACGAGCCGTTCCCCGCCTCCACCTTCTGAGAGAACGAGGGGAAGACAGCGAACGGGAGACACAGAAAACCCTTTAGGAAATTCTTTTATTCTACTGACGCTAGGAACAATCATTGTAGAAAGCCGAGCTGAGCACTTGTCAGCAGAGCCCAATCAATCACGAGACGGAGGAAAATAACAGAAAACACAGCATGTCCACATAAGAACAGGTACAGCTCAACAAATCGGCTACAGCGCCGGCTACATCTCTTAAACTGCTCTCAGAGGGGAGAGTGATTAAACCTCAGAGGAATTACAACACAAAGCTGCCTTGAAAAACAAGAAACAAATCAGAAACTGCAGAGAAACCATGCTGGACTTTTATTTTTTATTTTGGGACATGCGGCAGTGACTTATTGTTTTCATAAAATAGCAGCAAAGGAAATATGAAAAACCAATGTATATTAATAATAATAAATAACTCTTCTGCCAAGTAATGTAAGTCATTGGACCAACCACAGGGGCTGTTTATAGTTGCCAAGAAACGTAGTATCTTTGAACATTAATATAGGCTGTCTCGATCCAATCTCTAGTACAATAGTATATATGCTGCCCAGGGAGTCAGTCATTTTTAGTCAGAATCATTCAGTGCACCAAAACAATCCCTAGAAATTTCCAAAATGCATCGTAAAACAACAGTAAGCACTGACTATATTCACACCAATGTCTTTCAAAATCCCTCACATTATCGTATCTGCCCTCCTCAATGCCTGATTATCTTCTTTAAAGGGTTAGTTCACCCAAAAATGAAAATTAGCTTGTGCTTTACTTACCCTCGAGCATCCTAGGTGTATATGACTTTCTTCTTTCAGACGAATCCAGTCAGAGTTATATTAAAAATTGTCTTTGATCTTTCAAGCTGTTTAATGGCACTCAGCGGGTGCTGCAGTTGAACAGTCCACAAGTCGTCAAATAAAGCTCACGCATTCATAATAAAACGTGACGCAGACGGCTCCGGGGGATGAATAAAGGCCCCCGTAGCGAATCCATGAGTTTTTGTAAGAACAATATCCATATTTCAAACGTAATATACACTTTTCTCTCACTTCCGTTATCAAAAGAGCCTTTCTTAACCCCGTAGCGCTACGCTAAGCTAGTAACAATAACCAAATGATACTGAAAATAAGATTCTGCAGTGGATGCGATCTTGCTTTACGGTGGCCCAATGGTTCACAACGCAAAATCTCCACAATACAACGAAATTGCCACAACACAACGCATAGGACTAACTGCGTTGTGTTGTGCTAATTTCGCTGTGTTGCGACTTGTTTCCGTTGTGTTGTGATACTTTCATTGTGTTGTGGCTTGTTTCTGTTTTGTTGCAGCTTGTTTCCGTTGTGTTGTGCTAATTTCATTGTGTTTTCGTTGTGTTGCGGCTTGTTTCTTTTGTGTTGTGCTAATTTCGTTGTGTTGCGGCTTGTTTCTTTTGTGTTGTGGAGATTTCGTTGTGTTGTGCACTACTGGTCCACCATATTGCTTTACACCAAAAATTCTCAAGTTGAGAGATAGCAACTCCTACTGCACTGCATATAACGTGTCCTCACATGCGCTAACAGGTAGACAAACATCTGATATATTTTCTACTACAACCTAAATTACAGAGTAAATGAGATTTGATAATTGCAGTGATATAAAGAGATGTAAAACAAAACTGGTGGCAACCAAGTTAGAAAGCTAGTAACAGCTGTTTGAAATATAATTACAATGGTAACAACGTCAAATGTAAAACAACGTTGTGCACCCACTGGATGCAACAAATGCCTCGTTTGTAATGGGTTTTATTGGTTTTGTCTCGTCGCGCCGGGACACACGGAAACACAGTAAGGGGCGTAACATTTCCGTCACACGCTTGAGGTATTCAGCCAATCACAACGCACTGAATAGCTGGCCAATCAGAGCACACCTCGCTTTTCAGAACGATGAGCTTTGTAAAAATCGACGCGTTTCAGAAAGGCGGGGCATAGAGGAGAAACAATAATGTACAGTATGTGGAAAATAATGTGTTTTTTTAACCTTAAACCGCATAAACACATTTCATTACACCAAATACACAAAACAATGTTCTTTTTAGCAACATCATATCACCCCTTTAAGCATGAAGTACTGATCTTTGATCAGCTAAATTTATATTGTGAATTAATGAACACAAGTTTTTTTTTTTTTTTCAAAACCCTAGGGGGGTAC